GGCACCGGCGGGGCGATCCTGGGAACAGTCGGAAACGGCGTGGTCGGGGCTGGTGGAGGTGTGACGTTCACCGCCGGCGCTAGCTCTGTTGGAACCGGTGGTAAAAGCTCCCTCGTCGGTGGCGCAGGCACTGAAGGCGGCAACGTTGAACTGACTGGCGGCGCGGGAACGGCGACTTACGGGGGCAGCATTCAGTTGACGTCTGGAGCTGCTGCTGCGTCCTCCACAAGCGGCGGAGTCACCGTCAGCACTGCACCGGGCACGACCAGCGGCTCCATTCAGCTGAGAAGTGGAGCTGGCACAGGTGGTCCTGGCGGCGCGATTGTTCTGTCTGTTGGCGCTGGCAGCACTGGAACTGGCGGTGCGATCACGGCGACGAGTGGCGCAGGTGTTGTTGGAGGCCCGGTGGCAATATCGAGTGGCACTTCCACAGGTGGTTCATCGGGAACGACGACACTAGCTACGGCAACATCCACGGGTGGCGATTCTGGAGCCATCGCAATTTCCACTGGCGCAGCGACTGGAGGTACCGGGGGTGGCATTGCCTTGACGGTTGGCAATGGTGCGACTGGAATTGGCGGTGCGATTGCTTTGACCTCCGGCACCAGCACTGTCAGCACCGGCGGCAAGACTTCGGTCACTGGTGGCCTCGGCACAGTTGGCGGCAATATCGAGCTGACGGGTGGTGCTGGTTCGGGTACCGTGGGAGGCACAATTGCGCTTTTGTCGGGTGCTGGCGCTGCGACGTCCGGAAGTGGTGCAGTCACCGTCGGTACACCACCCGGTAGCACCAGCGGAGCCATTCAGTTGAGGACTGGCGCAGGAACGGGCGGCGCTGGTGGCTCCATTGGGGTGACCCTTCTCGGAGGTGCCAACACGATCACTACTGAGTTTGACGGCCTAAATGTGCGTGCTGCGTCGTACGTGCACGTGGCGTCGGGAACGGACGAGCTTACCAAACAAGGGGGCAACATTGTGCTTCAAACTGGTGATACAACGGCGACGCAACAACTGCATGGTGGCGGCCTGCAAGTTCGCACGGGCAACAGTGCACATGCCGATTCGTCATCTGGGGCCATCTCTATTGCGTCCGGTCAAAACGCAGCGCACTCGGGGACAGTCGAGTTGAAGTCCGGCACTGCTGGGCTGAACAGTGGCAGTGTTGCGATTGCAACTGGCACGAGCAACGCTGCTGCTAACGTTGGAGGCATTTCAGTCAAGACGGGCGCGGCGACCACGGGCAATGGCGGGGATGTTGCGATCTCAACTTCCGATCTGACTGCAGGCGCCAAGGCGGGGGATGTCCTCGTCTCTGGTGGAAAAAGCACCTTGGCCCAAGCGGGCGCGGTCTCAATTGCCGGTGGTGACGGAAACGTTGGTGGCAAAGTTCAATTGACTGCTGGCGCCACTTCGTTGAGCTCTTCCGCCGGTGCAAAAATTGGATTGACCGGTGGAAGTGGGGCCGAAGCCGGAGGAGATATCGCCCTGGCCGCTGGAAACGCTCTCAACACTGGTGCTGGTGGAAAAATCGCACTTGTAAGCGGCACAAGTGCCATTGGTACCAGTGGCGATGTGATCGCTGCTAGCGCCGACGCCCCAACGACTGGCAGTGTGGCCCTATCGACAGGAACGGCCGCTGCTGGTGCATCTGGTTCAGTATCGATTTTATCTGGAGCAGCCACT